ATAAGTGGGAGTTTAAAACACCTTATTCGTGTATCAAATTTTGAAATCGGACAATAAAATTGGAGTGTTTAGATATTTCTATTTAACGAAATAAACAAACTTTTTAACGACAAAAATCATTATTTTAAATTATCAGAAAGTGATACATCACTTATTTGAAAATAAATACGTTATCTATTTCTGTCAAAATTAGATTCTCCATGTTAATTTTAAAGCTTCTTATTATCAGAAATTTACAAAACAAACCACTCTTTTTAATGCATCGATCTTCCAATGAATTTTAAAACATAAAAGACGACTTTGGTACTTCGATACACCTAGAGAATTTTTAAATATGAGAAACTACTCGAACACTTCAATTTATTCAAAATCTACATAGCAAAGTATGCCATATAGCATTCTAGATATACCCATAATAAAAAACATTCGTACATACATATGTATAATGCATCTCGATAAAATAAAATAAGCTACGTATGTATCAATTTTTACCACATATCCAAAATAAATAAAATAAACTATCAATTTTTGCCAAATAACCAAAATAAACTATTAATTTTTGCTAAATAACCAAAATAAACTTTTTTCCTGCCAAATAATCTGAATTATTTGGCAGCCCGATCATAGTAATCTGACGGATAATAATTTTTATTTTATATTTTTGCAGAAAATTAAAAATAAAAAACACAATTATTAAATGTATTCCTGATAAGGAATTTTTCAATAAATTCCTTTCAATTTCTTTCATTTTGTATATTTTTTTGTTTTTTATTTTGTGCATTTTCTCAATAAATGTTGTGCAGCAATTTTACCCAACACATTTTGTGTTTGTGACTGTAGTGGCTTATTGGTGATAGGTGCTTCTGGCAGGTCATTAGTGGTTGCTTCTGGCAAATCATTTGTAGTTGCTTCTAGCAGGTTATTAGTGGTTGCTTCTAGTAGGTTATTAATATTGCCTTCTGGTTGTTTATTATAGTTAATGACTACTTCTAGTAGTTCAAAGTTATTGTTTGACAATACTTCAAACTTATCGATACCACTTACAAGTGATACTATTGAGTTTCTTTTTTTAAATAAAGAATTTGTCAAAATGAAATCACCATTTGATAGTATTTTATTTTCTAAAAATAAAAAAAATTTAATATATAATAAATCAAATTTTTACAAAAAATTCAAATTGAAAATTTAATAAATATCTTTGAGTGATTCTTTATTTTTATTTATAAATATTATCTTTAAAAATCTGGTAAGTTCTTTTTGCCGCATAATAGACTTTGGTTATTTATATAAAGCCAAACTCTTCTGTGACTTATATCTCATAATTGATATGATTACAACATCAGAATAGGAAAGTTTTTTTAGCACTTGAACTGCAATTTTTCTTTTTAAATGGTTTGTCAAATTGCAACCTCCAAATTGTATATCTGTAGCTTTACAAATAACCTAAAAGTATGTTCTTAATTTTTTTCACCTATTGTTTGACTATAGAACTATTGGCTACAAAATTTGACTTGTAAAAAAAAAATTAATATAAAAAAATAAAAAAATACTAATATTAATATAGATACTTATCTGAGCTTGCCTATATAGATTTCAGATAAAAATTTGATACTGCTATAACTGAATGTTTAATAAAATAGAACTCATAGTTATTAATTATACTTTTGATATTTGGTAAACTGATAACTTCAGCTTGATTGTTATAATCTTTAAGTTCTTATTGGTTTATTTTTAATCTATACAGTTTTACGTTAATTCTACTATTACATCTTTTTACAAAGCTATTTATCTAAAGATTATAATATTTATCACCCCACAGGACCAAAAGAATCAAATTATAAAAAAATATTCACCACAAAAGCTCTTCTGGATTATTACGTTGCATAGTATAGTAAGAGAGAATTTGCTTAACTTTTTGCAAAGTCAACTTATCTGACTCAGCATATTCATCTAGACCTTTCACTGATAGATTTTTCAATTTACTATTAATAATAGTATTCAAATCAAAATATATCTTGAGGTTTAGAATTTTCACAAGCTTCAGCATTACTGAATATTGATTAAGGTTTTGACAAATTGCAACTATACAGTTACAGATTAAGAATATATGGTATTCACCACTATCTTTTTTTTTTATTATATATACAAATTTTAACAGTTAGTCTTCAAGAAAATCTTTCAAATCAATTTTTTTGATTTGTCTTCATAGTCTATATCAAAACAAAATTCTTCAAAGGCTTTAACTCAAACCTCTGTTGCTTTATATATTGCTTGTGCTCTTGCATCTCTATGAATGGTTTCAAATTTACTAAAGGTAGATTCCATATATCTAACTTACTAAGTTATATATTTACATATTAGTTTTTTTAGTAAATAAATAAAAATTCAAACAACTAAAAAAAAAAGTTGCTTTATTGTTTATTAAAGAGAGTTTCTTCAAACTACTTTTAATTTTAACATTACTAGTCACACTATCTTAAATTTCAATATTACTAGTCATATTGAATCTATTATTATTGTTCACACTACTCT